GGTTTTGCCATTTGAAGAGTGGCTACAGTTGCTCCGCGAGAGTGAGGCACGCGGCGAAGAACATATCAACCCCGCAGTCAAGCTGATCCATCATTATGAGATGATGCATGGTGCCCAGTCTTCCATCAATCACGACGGAACGAAAGTTTTTGCAACGGACAAGGCTGAAAGAGATAGCGTGACTCTGCGCAATGATCGCATGGGTGTTGTCCAAGACGGCATCCTGGACTGCTATGCCCGAGACTGGCTTTTGAGGTGGACGATTTAGGATGATCGGTACATACTGTAAAAGGTGCCAGATGTATTGCTGATGTAGCATACTATGACGTCGATGCTCAAGCTCCACCCAGTCAAAGCAAGTCGCAGAGAATTTCCCGGTGCAAAAATAACGTAAATAGATATGTTAATAAAGCCCATGTTACCAGTTTCACAGCATCCACTAAACCAAATTGGTGGGTCAGCCGTATGTCTAATGATATAGCTACCAGGAATGGGGCCGTACTTCAACAATATCATGAATTCGCGGATGTGATGGTTTCGGTACAGCAGAATTTGAAATCAGTACAGTACTAACTTCACACTCTTGCGATTTGATTTGCGAACCCTAATGTGACATACGCTAGTGCACATTTTGGAATAGTGGTCGATCCATGATCTCCAAGAATAGACATTGTATCTTACATGACGCACAGGTGGGACCTTGCCTTGTGTATCTTAGCTCACGAAGGCGCACGAAAAGAGCAATGGTATGAGAAGCTAATTGATCGGGTACCATTCTGTTGTCCTCTTCTTAGTTCTCAGTGCTCGGATATTGGCCAATATCAAATTGATTCTCAGTCTTCCGTCTGTGGAGATTTTCTCAGCATGGAACCGAAATCGAATTTTTGTAGCCTGAATAATTGTGCATATGAACATCCTTCCACAGGCTGGGTGGCGCAAGGTATTCTTAAGGCGGATTTCTTTATTCTTTTCGTTCCAAATTGATCATTTATGCAGTCTCCTGGGACCTAATACTGTACCAGTGGATCTTGAATCAAGATCAACGGAGCTGATCTCTAAATCACTATTTACTGAGACCGAATGGCGCCTCGGTAAGCACTGGCTACAAAGGATCAATACTAGGCTACGGGAAATCGAACTCTATTTGTGCAATGACGCGTGTGTGATTGGATGATGATCTTCCTACAGCCAAATCTGACCAGACCCTGAATCAGTATTAGATGTGCTCCGTCCCTCTCCAAATATGGTTTAGACGGCAACCGACCTTTCCCCTCATTGGTTTGATGAAAGGGCAGGCCCCATAATTTATCGAGGCTGGAGATACCCGTGGCCCCGCTATTTTCAGGGGCCGGGACAAAAATACAGCTAAAGGGCGTTCAGTATCTTCGTTGTACATTATAGAGGGAGTGATAGAGGGGCCCGTGCAGGCTGCCACGGAGCATAGAGCCCAGACTCTTACCCCTTGTAGTTATCGACCGCTTCAATCATATGCTCAGAGTTTCTAGGGGCCATCAACGGGGTAGACAAGAAAATGAAAATTTAAGCTCAACTGATGTCCAAATCAAAGAAGCCCATGCAAGTCGATCTCACCGTTGTGCCACCATCCGCGTTTCATCCTGCGTTCCATGCACGTACGGGATGCGGCAATTTTCCCCCCACAGGCTCGCCTAGAATCTGAATTGGCAATTAACAAACTCATTAATCTCCGTCAACGATTGAACGTAGCACACGGGTTGCAAACCACTAATAAGAAAGCTTATACAGAAGCAACTGTAGTGTCTATGGAACATGATAATATCGGCTGTATGTCGATATTCTTTGCTCGACCCGCATATGAGACAACATGACTCAGTATTCGGAGGACTTGAACGGCTTCGGCTAATTACGTTGGACTCTCTTCCTGTGGGTTCAGAGAACGTTTCAGCCTGTGCCGATATAGGTTTGCCTCGGCCAGTACCGACGAGCCCTTTTAGCCGTTACGTGCGGCGTGACTCATATGCACAGGTACGGGCCGAGAACAAGCCGTGAGTGTTCTAAGGAAAGCCGTTTTCGAAATCTACTGTATCTTATAAGTCCAGACAGGCAGCACGGCAAAGCGCTCGTGCCAATCCGGGAACTGGGGCCGTATACCCTGCTGGATAAGTACGCCATTAGATCTTTTTCATAGGTACACGCTACGAACGCATATATCAGCTAGACGAAAATGGCTCACCTAGTCCTATACTAAAGATCCGCGGCCAATGTGTGGGCCCCAGGAGAGAGAGTCTTAATACTACTTTGAGGGTCATGGGGAGGAGACCTAGTCCACAAGCTTTTCTTTCTTCGTGCAAGACATCTTGGAGCGTGTATCTAAAGAAATCTAATACCAAAGGGCTGATTGTCCATCAATCAGCTAGGCCATTTGTCCTTCGTTTAACGACGATGCAGATCTCATTTGATGCAGCTCAAATGGTTGAATGTGAGAGATTTACATCAAATCCGTGCCTGAAGGTCGACACATGCTGATTACCTGGTCGAAACTAAATAGTTTGCCATCGTTTATACCTGTAACCATATCACCGATCGTGCCCACTTCAAAGGGAACGGTTTCCGTGGGTAGTCAAGACGGCCGATCATGAACAAGTCAGATGCATTCTTCCAGATTAATCACCTAGGTTAATCACGCGGATTAGCTTCGATGGTCCGCATTCGAGAAAAGTACACGGACCCACTCCGCAATATTTTCCAGGAGCTCGTTCGGGAGATCCTCGAGCATGTTTTCTGCGATCCAGGTGTTCTGTTTCAACAAAGGAAGGCCCGACTCCTTTGTACTACGCACTCAACAAAGCCAATTGTAGCTAGACAATATGGGCGCAGAGTAATAGATGAAACTGCCGCTCAAGAATGGTAGAACAAGAATAAAATACGATATTGCACAGAAGCTGTTCAAATAAACACGGCATGAGTGGCGAGCTGGATCGAAGAAGATGCCAGGGAATTTGAACGTTGCAGAGGACTCGGATAAGCATATTGACATGAGTTACTCGGCAAGTGTAACTATGATCATCTGTTGAACCCTGACTATAGAACCCGGTTGACTGTACGTCGTTTCGGGGCCTATTCGAGTCATTGGGCGAAAGGGGAAAAGGACCAATCTGGGACCTGTGGAACAGAGAGTCACATAGCCGTGGGGACGGATGGTCCGGCCAACGGCATTCTCCCTTTGGAACTTAGTAAAAGACTACAAAAGATGAACTAGGTTATTCGCATCCACCCTATGTGGCTGTAAAATAAGTGAATAGCTCTATGACCTCTGGAAGACCAGCCAATCCTGACAACATACGTCCACTCCTGTATCTAGCAGAGAGGTTATTGCCAAGGTACGAAACATGCAAAATTGTACGTAGAAATAGTTCCTGGTACAGTACAAACAAACAACTAATCTATCTCAGGGAATGATTCGGGATTACGCAACTGTGAGACGTCAGCCTCACTCAGCCCTGATGGTCTCTTTCTCAGCCTTCCAGAGCTTCCCATTCCCTGCCACGCTGCTCTGGATGCTGGGAATACTTGCGAAGAGAAAGGCAGCTCACTGCCATGGCTATCATTTCAGCCATCACCACTTTATTATGGGCCATGCAGCAGCTTCCCCGTGACTATCCATTGTCTTCTCTTCCCTAGCTATGAGGATCGCTGCTTTGTCGAATGGAAGGGACCCGATATATTTTCCTCGCTTACCTGCAGTGAGGATGTGTTTACTTTCCTTCACTTCACACTACCCGGCGAACCAGTGAGTTGGCTCAACACAAGACTGTCTATCACAAGTCTGCTTTCAGGTCAGACAGTAGTCGATCTCCCATTCACAATTTCACCGAGTGAATGGAGCACCGACTCATTAAGCAATTTTCAGCTACGCGTTTACGATATTCTATCACACTGGTTTTCCTCCTGGTGCCAAGGCACAAGTTTCGACCAGTTTGTGCTGCAATTAGCGATATGGCCGTGGCGAGACCGACAGCAGGGAGCAGGAATCGAGCGCATAGAAGGGAATTTCTCAGAGATCTCTCCCCTTGATCCAGGCTTTTTTGTCCAGAACATCATTGGTAATTTCTAGAACAGATATCAACTTTTCCTTGTTGCTTTAGCAAGGAACACTTATTTTTGGACCTGTCGAGTAGGATCAACGAAGCAGTATGTCACAACTTCCCAATGAATGCTATTTTCGAGCGACACCTCATCGCATCCTCCTACGCCTGGTAAGTCTGGTATTGAGCGCATAGTCAGTTATTTGCGAATTGAGGTCTTTGGCCATGAAAGTGCCGATGTTTGTCATGGGGCTCCAATACGAATGAACAATGCATTTATAGACCTCGATACCTGCGTATATTGTTTTTTTATCCTAGAACTAATGTGTCAAAAGCCGAAATAAAACCAATCCAAGCCCGAAATGTGGATGCGCGTCTTCAATACCGTGTAGCTCTTTATGATTAACATGCTCTCTGTGCCCTTAGGTGTATCGTTTTTGATATTGCATGTGTGAGACCGGCAAATTGATGGGCCTATCATCCTAGGTTAAAACGCACTTCTGACATCACACTAAATGCGAGATTGGCGTAGTAATAGCTGCCAGAATTCAATTCACTGCCACAGGAGCCAAATGAAAGAAAACAGGACGATGATGGCCGTCACAGTAGGGATATTTCCGCGCTCAGACCCGACTCCGTTGAACTCAGAAGTGCTCCCCGATAAAGATGAGCTTGTCGTAGAAATCAATGTACTGGGTAGGCTTGCAACGTTCTGCTGTGATATAGTGGCGCTTTGTATATTGCGTTGGGGAACGTGGGAGGAAATGGTTCTTTGAGATGTTCGTAGATAACTCAAGGCGGTAGGAGATACGGTGCTAGTCAGGTCCACAGAAGTAGTTCTGGAAGCTACCGTTCTAACTGGTAGGGGTGGTGTTCTTCCTTCTCCACGGTGGTCACTCTACCTCCTTTCTGAGTTTGAGGCTTACCGGGTATGCCTCAGACCGAGGGTTGATGTCGGTCTTCAGCAAGTAGTTTTCTCTGTACTCCGGCATTACCTCTGGATCCTCGTGCCGAAGAAGGGCAACGAATTGGGGGGGGTATCGGCCTAGTGATAGGTCCGGTGTTGATGCCACCCTCCCGAAGAACCTTCTTCATCGCGCGAAGATATGTGTGATGGACACGTTTGAACATCTGTTCAGTCCATCCTTCGAACTGCTCCTGGAACACATAAAGCAGCTCGGCGTCATACAGGCCCAAGATGCATATACCTTTGATCTGTTCGACCATGTAGGTATTCAGATGCAACTCCTTGGACGTTGCAGTGACATGTTTGACACCCCACCATTTGGGACTGATGTGCGTCAGGTCTATCTTCATCGGAGAATCCTGGACAAGTTGTTCCCTGGTCATATCGGCACATGGGGAAACAATGTCCTCTTCGATCGGTTCGTCATTCGGAGACACCGGATCGGGGTTCTCGCGCGTTGTTGACATTTTGTTGGGATGCGTTGTTGAGTGGACAAAGAGGAGAGGGAAAGAGAGGCAAAACTGGCGACTCTGGCGAAGCTGGTGAATCTAGGGATTCTAGCGAATACGACTCTCGTGCGCGAGAAGGATGATTTCGTATGTGGAAGGCTAAAGCCAAATTGATTAAATACTGACTGGACTACATGCAGCAAACGAAAATCATGGAGAGAAAGAGAGCGAAGCAGAGAGAAAGATGCACAGCAGGGATTAGGGGAAGATATACAGAGGGCGGCATGTGACTAAACGGGAACGGCAAAGCCGCGTCGGATGTCTTGGGGTTTATGTACGCCGTGACAGGCATCCGAAATCATTATCCGAAAATTTATCTCAAAGTATTCCTAGAAATTCGCGCGTAGGATAATTGGCTGACGCCCCAATCAATATACACGTGATTTAGCGTGTTTTCGTCGAGAAGACGCTCTCAGTATCTGCATGGGGACATGATGAGACGGCTGGTGTCGTTGAGGAATGCGGCAAATTTCGATTCAAAAGCGTGTCGGAAAGTTAACATCGAAGTGCGAGGTCTTGCATACGATGTTCACCATAAGCGTCAGTTCCGCCTCGCCTTTCAAACAGGTGAAAAAGTCGTCCTGATTGTTCAGCGTGGATCTTCATCCGTAGGTTGGGCCAACTCACCAGCATCAATTCGTCTAGTTCAACCGTGTTCAACTTGTATGACAGGTCTTGAACTTTTGAGCTCCATGGAAAATCAGGATGGAATTTCTCGTTCTTTTTCATCAACCGTTTGACCATCTCCGACAATGCCGTCAGCTTCAACGTTGCTGCATTCATATCTTCGGGATTTATACGGCAACTACGTTCTACACCAGCTGGCACGGCAATGGAGTTAGAGGCTGCAGTGGCCGAATTGCCCAATCAATGGGTTGACTTACCGATCCTAACCCCACCGGATCCCGTAAACAGGACCTCATCGTTGGTAAGTGTGGCAAGCGCTCTATCGAAATTGCGGAGGTACCTGATCCCAACAAGGATCTACAGAGCTTCAGCATTGGCCTGGATGGGCTTGTGTCTCCCAACAGCGTGTGAAATGGGTAGGACGGAAAATTAGACATACTGGCCATACAATCGAGGCGATTTCGGTTTCGGTAAGGGCATACCTAGATCCTAGAACTTGGGACAAAGAGCATTCAACCGACTCCCACACCAAGAAAGTTTGATCTTCATGTTGATAATGGCGCAGGAGTTGAGGGAAACTGCGGTAAGAGAGGTCGTTGACGATCTTCACCAGCGACCGGGTCGACGCTGATTCCGTTTTGAGCTGTTGAATGTGGACCAACTCCGTTTTATTCTCCCTATTCTGGGCCAGTAGCATCCCCTTTCGCGGGAAATTCTCGATGCCTTTGACATATGTTGCCCATGGGTCTTCGTTCAATGGCTGAAGAGTGGAAGTTGGTATTTCTGAAGCTCGCATTCGCTTCCGCTTCAATGGCTTCCATGGAGTTGAAGGGTTGGCCACTGGCTTAGGCTCCGGGGGATAGATCGGGGCAGCCACTTCTATGCTCGGACGGACAGGTGGCACGGTGGAAACACCGTCATGCCTAGCGGGGTTGGCTATCGTGGGAAAGAATACCGTTTCCGGCCGAATGGGCTTCGAGTGGGTGGTATCCATCCTGGAAGTATCGGTGGAACGGTTTGGGTGTATTTGGCGTTTTGGGTAGCGGAAGCTGATATATAGCAGGTACTTATCTACTCCTACACCCGGTGCAATGTTTGCTAAAATTTCATACACCAGGCTGAATTCTGATAACGTGGATTTTCAGGTCTCAAGGTAGACATGTAATCTGCCTAACTGATGAATAACGGAGGGTCATACAGCCGTTCATTCTGCTTGCTCGCATGGAAGAAAGTAGATGCATCCTTGTGCACATTTGGAGAATGCAGAGATACCACTAGAAAGGCGGGGGGCTAGCTGCCAGTCAACCACAGTTTAGCTGATGTTGATGTTTGTTAATTGCTACAAGTACGCGTGCCTCGACTTGTTTTTAAATTTGCGGCCTAGGCAGCTCAACAGAGTCGTTCTTCCATGCTACTTGAACATTCAAAAGCCATCCAAAGAGCTCAACGACGAACAGAGGGCCAGAACAATATGGTTGTCGCCGCTGCAAACTCTGTCGACAGGACAAGTGACCGTTTATTTGATACCGGTTCCAGCAAGACGCTGTCACCCAGCTGGTATTAGTCAGCTGACATAGTTTAGGATAGCTCTCCTACCAGTAGGCAATTCATCATCTCATCCCCTTCTTCTGTACGAACGTGCCAAAGAGGCTCACACACAAGCTCGAGGATTTTAGCACATCCCAGCTGGACCACTCTGGCCTGGCGTATGCGTATAGAGATTACTCTGGAAAGAAGGTCGCTACGTTGGAACATGGAGAGATCGTAAGAGCGGCATTGCCAGATGGGAAAACGCACTCATTCATGACGACCGGGTGCTACACCCCGGGGGGCATGGTGAGCCTTTCGGCATGCGAAAACTTCTTGAAGAACAGCACATCAATTATGACACTCGCACTAAATACCTTACAAACGGTATGGGACATATCATGGGATATGCGGACACATCAGCAGGTGTCCCATATCTAGTCAATGATAAGGAGGAGGATCTTGACACAATTGATTCGGATTCAGATGATGAGATTGGAATTGTGAGCAAAGTGTCATCTTACGAAAGCTCGGTCATGCTGGAAAGGCTTGCATTGCTTCTACGCTACAACATGCAGAGCAGCCGAGCGATTATGAGCAGTAGTTGCGACGCTTGTTTCTGAGGCAATCAAAGCTGCAGATATCTCGTAACCACAGGCTAGGGTGCAAGATGCAGCATGGAAAACCCATGTTGATACCCAGCCAATGAAACCCATAGGACAAAACAGAGAGAGCTACTGGCTGCCAGTTGTTGCAGTGGCCACTCTCACCCCATGTATAGTTTTTAATGCATTTATCTCAACCAAACCGCCGTTACAAAGTAAACTGGACGTACCTCTCAACATAGCGATCGTAAGAGCAGCACCTCTGTTGTCCATAGACATTAACCAATCCCGAAGAGATTCCTCTCGCGATAGGTCAATTTATGGCGTGCAGGCCTCATGTCATACCGACTAGTAGCCCCTCTCATCCGGTCTTGTGGCATAGACCGCGGGATCCCAAAAGAGCGAGCAGCAGCAACAACGGAGGGTAGTCCGGCCATTATTCATACCCTTGATTGCTATCAGGATTCTGCCTTCCTGTTCAACTAATTTCTGAGCTTTTTTACCATGGATTGGTGGCATACTAGGCGTTTGTTAAAACTGGAGGTTTGATGAGGAGTAGAAAATTTGAAGTTCCTGCCGGAATGACCGAGTTGCCGGAATAATCAGGATCCATGTTAGTTAAAACGTGTGGTGCCTATAGTCAGTTATCAATTCCCGCTTCTGGAGCCTCACTTACCAAAACCCCCAAAAAGGAACCTACAATTGAAATCAACCCCGTCAAAAACTGGGCTCACACTTTACCCATGATATCGCTCAACGCGGTGATCCGAGCAAGGCCATTGAACTTCATGTAGGAAGCAGTAATCAGTTTGCCCGCATACCTTTGTCGTTGAAGCGTCAACCCCTTTAATAAATAATTAATGGTACATGTTGAACGTGTGAATCACGGCGGACAATACGGCGGGGTCTCCCTCACTATCTGGATGGGTTCAATGTATCAACCAAAAGTACGTAGCACCAGACATACCTCAGAAACATGTTACGTCGCGACTGGTTCTATTGCTCTTCAAAGCTTGGCTCGATCACTTGGTATAAAGACGTTTCCATGCCAGAGCCCTGGACCTTACTACTGACCTGCAAACTCTCACAATGGATGGTCTTCACAATGAGCATGAAGCAAAAGTTGAGCAAGACCAAGGTACAGGAAGCGCTCCGCCGGGATACCTAAATGAGCTCCCAGTATTTACAGAGATGCAGGATCTGGGTCAGCAGCCGGTAAGCGACGATTGCATCCAGGATGTAGCTGCATACTGACTTTTGCAACTCGCTCCCACAGGTACAGTTGCCCCCGAATGAGGCGCAACACGCCTTGGTCGCTGAACCATTTCAACCGCTGGTCGAAGAGTTGAAGCGGCTGGTACAGGACGACCCACAATTCGCGCACCAGGCTGCACAGATAGTGAGGCTTTACCGACGGCTGTATGAGACTTATATTGCAAGGAAGTCTGAGACCCAACGTCTTGAGCAGGCGAATGGGGAGCTCCGCACGGCAAATCTCCAATTACGCCAAGAGGGTGAGTACCTGAAGGGTCGATACGCCGAACAGGGAGACGAACTGGCTTATTTTGGACAAGCCTTTGACAAACTCAGCACGGGTATCGGGAGGCTCTTAGCGAACTCTGGGGGCTGTTGTTCAGAACCGATGTATGAGGCAGCTAGCAAAGTGAATGAGGAGGCTCCTTAAACTGTCATCTTTACGCTTTCAATATCGACAGTACACAAACCGGCAGGTCGACACGTTATTGCGCAGAAATGCGAAAGTATTATGATACATTCTGAGAAAACAACGCGCTGTCATGCTGCGTACAGTGAATACGGTCCATCAGGATGGCAATATATCCGCCAAACATTTCGCCATCGTAGTAGCACATTTGCTGGGTCAGGCGCAGCAGTTATTCTGCCTCCCACCTCAGATAATGAATCAACCCACTCTTTTATTCCTATTATGCACTGTGTTATTACTGGGGTCCACGGCCGACCTTATGAGCCACGTGGTGGTTGCTTGATTGGGGTCTACTGGACAAAGATCAACTTACCATTCCTACTTTGAACAAGTCGTCATTTGGGGGGTAGGCGGTCATAGCAGAACTCAAAGCAGGCAAAAAATGAGGTTTAATAATTGATCATTCAGTATACCCGGGCAAATTGTATCGGTGCTTCGATGCAGGCTATAAAAAGAATGTATAAAAAGAATGTATAAGATATAAAATATAAAATATAAAATATAAGGAAAAAAAAAAAAGCTCTCTTTCTATTTAGGCTCAACTCGTATGATCATGGTATAGTAGGAAAGGGGAAAATGGCTTGATGCCCACTTGGACCTCGATTTTCTCACGTGGAGTCGGTTTAATGAGGTTGAGAGGATGTGAAAATTTGATCCTTGGGAAGTCATACGGTTACACAGATAAACGACGGTAAACTAGTTAGTTTCGACCAGGCAATGACCATGGGACCTTCAGGCATAGGTTCGGTGAAAATCTCTCGCATTTAACCATCCGAGCTGCATCGAATGAGATTTGCATCATCATTAAAGGAAGGGCAGATGAGCTAGCTGATTACCCGACAATCATTTCTTTGGTATTAGATTTCCTTAGATACGCGCTCCAAAATGTCTTGCGCGATGAAATAAAAGCTTGCGGTCTAGGTCTCCTCCCGGTGACCTTCAAAGTACTATCAAGGCTCTATCCTGGGCCCAACGCATTGGCCGCGGATCTCTAGTATAGGACTAGGTGAGCCATTTTCGTCTAGCTAAATATCTGCGTTCGTAGCGTATACTTCTGAAAAGAATTCTCGGCGTACTTATCGAGCAGAGTATACGGGCCCAGTTCTTGGATTCGTCCGAGCGCTTTGCCGAGTTGTCTGTCTGGACTATAAATCAAGCACGTCTTCTAGCATTGGAGAAAGACTTAGCTGTGCTTCCTCATTCACCACTCCATCAATCCTTTACTCTCTTTTCCAACAAGTCCAAGATCCTCGGTCATGGGTATCCTCCATTATCCCGTTTCCGGAGAGAACCATGGTCCGTTCTCCAGCCGACTTCGCGATGCCCTTGCTTCCAAAGCCAAGCCTTTCGACCTCTGGAGCGTCCCTGAATCGGCTTCAGGGCCCCAAGAAGAAGACTGCCCTTATGACATGGAGTCGCAGTCCTCTGCGGAACAAACTCCTATGACAATGTATAAAGCCATGGAGAATGAAGCAGATGCTGATTGGGCGGTAGAGACCCAAACTGTGCCAGATCACGTACCGGAAGCGGTGCATCATGGAGAGACTGGTAGTCCTGTATCAATGGACAAGTTTCTGAGGTGTCTCGAAGAGTAAGGCTACTTGCTTCTTCATTGCATTTACCAGTGACGCTAATTTCTTTCTAGCTTGAACGCCCGACTCCAGTAGGTGAATTTCTCTCGGCGATACTTGCAGCAAGCCCACCTTATGCTGATGCAAACATAGGTCCGTAGAAGAACAGCTCGAAAAACAAAACCTCTGGAACGACGAAATGGACCGAGGCGTGAAAAGGATGCAGGGCGGGTACCAAGATATCTCGGCTCTCATTGAGGAAGCGGCTACGCTGAAAGAACAACTCAACGCTCCTGGGACTTTATCTATCGCTGGAGATGATACATGGATGACAGGTGTTACTTTTAATGCGTCCGAATAGCCAAAAGACTGAAAGGGTCCAGTGGTTGGTGTCCCGTGAAGTTTACATGCGTGGTTCAAACTTCGGAGAGGAGGGCTTTTATGGGAGAGAGTATGGCTTTCTGCATCAGTGCCAGCGGCGGAAAGGGCCATTGTTTCACAAATATGTCTTGTAGTTCCCGAAAAACGGATCTAAACACCAGGTAATTGTCTCTGTGAGGTTTTCGTCTTATTATACTTCTCGTTCCATGTGCGAACAACAAGGTACTTTGTAGAGGTACTTTTTAGAGGTGTTTAGTTGTTCAGAATTATATAGCTGGTGGGACTTAGTGGTAAGTCTTAATTCAAGGCTCGCCATCAACATTGTCAAGGCTGGAGAACGTTCACATGGATCGTTCGTAATGCCGGGCAAAAGGTGCTGTTTTCGCTGCCAGTGAGGAAAAGTTTCAATTTGGAGCAATTATAGTGAAGATATTCATCAGTGTTGGCTACTCTCCGGTGAGAAATACAGGCCCATTGCTTGCCCCTCGTAACTTATGGGCAATAAGGCTTGAAGAAATAGGCGGTTGATCTCGTGCACGACTAATCCAGAAGAGATACGAAAACAATCTTGAGTGAAGCCATATCGGCTACAATCTCAATTCCTGTGTCTTCGTAATCATAGAGCCTTATGCCATATGGCATGGCATTCGAGGACGAATAACATCAAGGACAATGGGAACTTTTACATTACACTATGGCTGCATACCTGATTAGACAACGAACGGTACATACAGTGGCCACCATCACTTCAGGCTCACGTTGGCTGCCTAAAACAGTATTTGCCCACTCCTCTATAACTCAGGTCTTAATTACTTTTACGCTGATGATGCTGATTCGGTTCAGGCGGAGTGCGATGTTAATTATGCATGCTATTTGATTAGCGTTGTAGGCGTAATGTGTAGATCCGCACGAAACTGCATCAGTTTACACCACTCCCACCACTCAGATTCAGCAGCTACTACCTAGCATAGACATCAGACCAGAGGGAGCAAAGAGGTTGGGCGCTTGTGCATAAGCAGCCAAATAGGAGATATGTAGGAGTGTGATATTCAACTAAGGCTACCTCGCGACAGGATGCAGATTGAGGCCGACAATACGCACTCCGCGGGAAAGTTTATTTTCCGAATAGATGGGTGATTTGTAATCAAATATCATTGGCCAATTTAAATACTAAATTCTTAGCAATACCTACCGTTTCATCTCCACGTCTCTCACCAGTGAGATTGCCCCCAGTCCCCAACGCCCATTCTCATCAAGAACAACTTATCTTTTTGTTCCATTAAAAAGCGATTAGTACAAATATAACCTGTTGTTTAAGCACCCTAGGGGGCATAGACGCGCCAACTGTGTATGCTATACTGACATCATCAGAAAGCTAAGCTTGTTCAAAAACGTGAATTTGGAGGATTCGCACAAGGTGCATTGACAAGTGGTGAATGTGAGGGAAGCGTACTCAGTGTAGCGCCTTTACGTTGGAATACCAGCGAGTTCTATCGAGATACAGATCCTCTTACTGGTACACTCAGCGTTCATTAGTATTTGGACATGCTACATTCCCGACTTATTTTTATACTAGCAGGGGGATTACTATGTTCCAAATGCAAAAGAATGGCCACTGTACGTTCAGTTTAAGGTTTTAAGCCAAAATATATGGTGGTACAACAATGCGAAGCATATCCTCCTTCCTAGTTTTCTTTGACAATAATAGTACCCAAGGCACGAGTTTTTTAGCCTCACAGATCTTTATATGTAAAGAAAAGAGTTCTCGAATAGACCGAGGCTTCCCATGAATCCAGGACCCACCACGAACAATACCTTAGTGCCATTATGGTACATCACCAAAAATAAAATTTCAGGAGTATTAACTGCGTTGTGATTGTACAACAAGCCGCAAAAACATTCAAAGCTCCTCACTTCATTCAGAAAATTAAGATCTAATCTCCTTGGCTGACACGTGATTATTAGATATTGAAGCGTGGAGAATGAAGACAGATAGGTCGATGAAGACTTACCCAATCCTGAGTCTTTCGACTGCGTCTCGACATAGTTTACAAATAGGCTCGGTTCTTCGAATAACATGTCCAATCTGGAGGTATGGATGGAAGCTCAATGATATCACTATCCAGGCTATTGCTTAGTCGTGAAAGATCTCTCCGAGATCTGTCTTGCGCCGGTGGTTCTGTGGACCTCCACAGTGAGAGACGAAACGGAACATTTAGATCTGTGAGTAGCTCACCTGAGATAGGCTTCACTTGACAAGTAGCTGAGTCTGCTTCAACTCTTTTTTGGAGTGGAGTGTCTGTACGGTAGACAGGATCGGGCTTATATACCATGCCCGCAGATTGCGCATGCGAAGTTATGGTGCCGCGGATCTCTCTATCCAACTCCTCACTGGGACCTTGCTCCTCTTCTTCACCCCAAAAGGAATCATTACTATTGTGATAGAAACCTAGGGATGGAACGCAATTGGTAAGAAAGGACAGAAGAGAGAAAGTGGGTAGACAACCCATTACAGAGATGTGTGTCTGAGATCAAGAGGGTATTGTCAAAGACAGAGGTACTCAGAAATGCGTCAGGATCCTTGATATATAGATCTGTATAATTCGCAAGTTCAATAGTATTCGCTTTCTACAATCCATCAGTCGCCAGTCGCAATGAAAGGATCTGCACAGTCATAGTTAGTTCCACACTCTATGAGAGAGATATTACGCTAACCTTCCAAGCCCTCTCTGATTCCTCGGCTCTTCTTGACTCCTCCAGCAAAGCTAGCCTTAGAGCAACCGGTTTATTCGAGGATTGATTCTCCATATTTCTGGGCTTGGCATCCCCCTGAAGACCTTACCGAGGATGCTAGATTTTTGTTGGACAAGTGCAAGGCTTTGACATATGTGAGACCATCTGACCTTTCGACAAACATGTTGACGCATTGGTGGAGGAGGTGTTGGCCCATTGGAGCTATGATACTGTTTTCAAATTAGCCCTGACAACTTGGCATTTTGATCACTGGGATATTGAAAAACCGCCTTCTTCAGCCTCGAAGGATTTGATTTCTTTCTTGAGTCGGCCCAATAACGACATAATTGAGATACTACAAGACCGATACAGAAGCATGATGGGCCAGGGAGCTGCATTGAGCGATTCCTTCGATTTCTTGCTGGTCTTGAACTGAGTCCAGATTGAGGGGCTGGGATTGAGCTTTGTCTGGATAACTCTTCTGTAATCACAATGATGTATACCACGGGGCTGGTACGATTGTACTTGCCTTGGACAATGCCATCAATATTCTTGCTGGTCTTGAACTGAGTGCGAAATGAGGGGTTTGGCCAGAGCTATGTTGGGGTACCTGACGGTTTCAATATGCAGACTACGTCTCACGTTGATGAGAATCCATTTGGGCTTCAAAGGACAATTTACCGAGACGGTTGCGTTCAAAATGCTTACCGATGTGTTGTCATCAATAGGTGACTGTATTCCGATTAGTACAACCCGTAAACGTTTCGTAGCAAGCAAGCCAGCTCAACGAAGCCGAGACAGAAGTGCCATCTTCGTTGCAAATCATTTTGTGTAATACTGTAGACTGCTAGAATACTCACTTGATCCTATGGCTGAACAAATCCGTAGCAGCCTGGCAGACCCGTTCGTGGAAGTGAATCTACATCCTAGCGGAGTTGATATTACAACTCGCCCCGCCCTTTTGATTTTGGGTGCCCAACAGCGGTCGCCGGTCACGTGCTCGTTACTGACATATCTTTGATTACCCCACCATACCTCACCCCACCTCTGTCTTTCCCACTATCCTCACTGTTCAAAGTGTCTTTGCCTTGACAAGAGTTGCTCATTCGCTGAGACTGGCGGGAGTCCGAATTCTGACATGTCGCAAGCAACATCAGACAAGCCACATCTATACGAGGATGATTTACCTGAAAGCGCGGATGCGGAGCGCAAGATACTCGCAGCGTGGGCCTCCTCTGCAACCTTCAAAAAACAAGCAGATGATTTCGAAATTCACGACTCGGACGAGCTAGATCGGAAGCTGAGCCCGTTTTTGGAAAAGCTGGGTCTGGTCGGCAAGGTACATCATGCCCATTCAAGTTTAGGACACACGCCTGACCAAAAAGAAAAATAGGGGTATTCTCTGGTACAAATTCCCGGTCCGAAACACGCGCCATTCCACTACAGCAAAGGTGATGCATTTATAATCCCTATTCAAATACTTGACAACAGTCCAAGCGCCTCGGGAAAGCCTCTTCGGGAAGGGAAACGTTTATGGATGAAGGCAAACCATGAAGTGAAGATTGAACCAAAACTGCGTTTGCTATTTGTCCTGCTCTAGCGAGTGAAGACCTGCATGGCACTTCATGCGGGGATGGTGGAAAAAGAAGAGAGCTCGTGAGAGCCTATATTCCGTGTGGTTCGTATGTCCGACAGTGTATTGCGAACATCACCGGAAAATGCAGAGCATGATGATGGAACGAATAGGTGTTGTTGATTTGGGATATCTGCTGGCCTGGTGGAGAATAGACTTATCTCGTGGGACATGCTACATGGCTCAGAGTCACTAGCCAGGCTGCAATTGACAGTGGTTGTATTTCTAGAGAATTGAGCCAGATCGTGTGATCTTGGGTTTAGCACGATCTCAAGCTCCTCTGGGATATGTTGAAGTTGCATGAATGAAGGATCTATCTGACTTCTCTGGGGGTTTGATTCAGCACGAGGAAATGTGGAGAATGTCGTGAGTTCATGAGAGTTTATGCTGGGGTAAACAACATCGCTAGGTTGGCAGTTCGTCGTTGCATCCGGGTCATCATCTGGCTCAGGCTGGTTGTCCACAGGCGGTACATGAGTCGGAGCCACTGGCCCATCGCCGGCTTGAGAAGATGTCACATGTGCGAGTGAATTGGTGTCTCTCCTCCTTCGTTTCATTGTTTGTGAGATCATTTCAAAGTCTCCACTTAAGTTCTCAAACCACTGTGAGATACACCGTGCTGATACAAGAACAACATTTCTCTGGTCACTTTGACTGTCAATGATGACCTCAGAGCTTTCGCATTCCTGCAGCAAGGATTTTGTGAGTCTTGGTAATTCCGAAGCTGAAAGAGCTTGAAATAGACCATACTCGAAAATTGTGACAAGGGCCAGGATTCCTTTGGCAGCATCCTTTTGGTCAGACGAGGTGGAGTTATCGTTCAGCCACCTAAGAAAAAGAAGTTGGTTCGTTCCTCGCTGAATCCCCTTTCGCAAGGCATTGTGGTCTGATTCAGGGTAGCCGTGTTCTCTGGCAAATCTTGTCATTTTGCCAGCAGTTTTTGGAGGACGGGCCCCCATCCCGTTGTAGAGTACATCAACCCTTGGCTTCCAGCCTCGCGCAATCTCCCAGTCGGCGAACTGCTGGGCAAGAGATAGTTGACTCAATCCTTTCAGAAGCTTCTGTTCCTCGGTTGGGGTTTTATTGCCGTCAATTTGTTTCAGGTGGTCAATCCTTTTATCTGCAAACTGCATCTCCTGCTCGGTCTGCAGTATCTCAGAAAGGGAAGCATAGGACTTGCAGAATTCGAGGATTCGAGGGAGCCTCTTTTTCGCAGCTCTGATTAAGGCCGTGGAATGTAGATTCTCGTTCGCTTGTCGCTTTCGTTTGCGTGTAGTGCTTTCCATAGAAGTTTTTGAGGATGACATGGAGATCTCACAGCTCGGTAGAGTTGATTCATTGCTCTGTTGATGAGCCGTGCTTGAGACTGTGATTTGCGAGAAAGTATCTGGTTGTGAACGTTCGGCTTCTGGCACGGTGTTTCTGTGAAGTCCGCCGAGGACTCCCACATTGACCCTGTTCGGGGCTTCGTCTTCAATCCAATGGGTGTTGATAGCCCGTCCAAGCTGTGTTAAGGTCTGAAGTGCCAGATCACGGTGATTGTTGAGTATATCACTAGGTGTATCACGAAGAAGCTTCAACGCTGATAGTACCTCCGCTTCTTGGGGAGCCATGATAGGTCTCAGTAGCTAAGAACTTTGGAAAACTGCGGGATTGACTCCTCAAATATAGTTTGGCACCGGGGCGGGGCAACGAGCAGGCTACAATACTAGCTGAGAGGCACCAATTGGAGTACAACTCTCTGGCCGTCGGCCAAAGAGCTTTGCTCCAATTGGTGCGACGTCTTGATCCGTCGCACATGGATCACAAGTATAGATTGCACCCCCTGAAAGCAAAATAGAGAACGAACAGATCGCTTATGCCAATCAATGCCAGGCCTCCCGCTTGCCTACGGCCACGTCAGCTGTGCATCCGTGTCCCATCAGCGGAAGTTTAATATGTGCCATCGCTGCAGAGTCCGTCACACGGAAACGACTTGGATTCCCAGCTCAACCGCAACTGCAAAGTAACGTGACCAACTCCCAGATGGTGCTCCTTCCGACACTACTACAGAATGGCCACAAGACTCGCTCCCCCAGATAGGGGCGTTTGGCTTTTAACACGCTCGTGATTTGCCTCAGGCATCAGAGGAATGTATTTTACAAGAAACTAGAATACAATCCGTGGTTCGGTATGGTATAAGGTCTTGCGTGCTAATTGCACCCAGTCTCGACAAAATTTGAATCGCCTCAACAATCGCAGATATGTTGATCATTATGGGGAAGAAGTTGAAAAATGGAGAATGTCAGGGCCGAGAAGAACGATTAAGGCCGAAACAGCGGGCATTGTTCACCGCTCACGAACTCGCAGATGCAGCGAGTATGTGCGTATGGGATCCCTGCTAGTGCGCCCCAAATCATATTTCGGGCGCACTAGTAAGGAGATCCCCTGCCTGTGGCGCCTTTACCCCTCAGCTCATCGGCTGAGGCTGGTAATGCTAATCGCCTACTTTTTGGGGGGCGGGGAGGGGTGAGTAAACATAATAATAAAGCCAGAGGATTATTAATTTGGGACGTGCCAACTGTTCCAAGGCGCTTACGCGTGTGATTGGCCTTACCTACCTAACTTATGTTTTTGGTGGCCTGAGCGCAACGAGCCATTACTGTGTCCTAACTATCAACCTCCTGCGATTAGCTTACTGACTACGGACTTCGCCTCCAAGCCTCCCGAGCGAAGCGAGGGTAAAAGGCTTGTCCTGTATACTATCAGGACTGTAACCATTGGCTATGGTTCCCCGAACCCAGGGGTTGTGCCATGTGGATTTTGTTTCCTGCATGAGGCGGATCAGATAGATTTGCTTTTTGAAGAAGGCCAAAGCAAAGTTTGGCAAGTTTACTCGACCTACTAAAGAGGCCTAGAATGCATTGCTTTCTCATGATTTCCCAGATCCTTTAACCGCCACTGAAGCGGGATTTTTATTCTGATCACGAGATCCTCTAATTGACTCTTTGCGCTGAATGTGTTCTTCGCCACCTTGTGGTTTATATTTTCATGTTTAGTTAGCTCCAATTATATCCCTTCAAAGCGATGCTGAGTTGGAATCGGATAGAACGGAACAGGAACGGAACATAGGTCGAAAAGAGGAAGGAACAAGAACGGGAGCGAAAGCCACAAAATCTGTTTCTGTCCGTTTCCTTTTCTATTATGCTTTTTCCCCTTCCCCTCCTTGTTCCCTATTGTTCCCTTTTGTTTCCCTTCTGTTCCGTTTTGATTCCTTTCGTTTCCCTTTTGTTCCCTCCCCAACTGTCTTTCAAATTGTCTTGCCATGAATTCTCCAGAAAGTGTAACGAGATTTCTCAAGAGTCTTGAAGATCTGATCCTTCTCTTCGAGGACCATGATCCCAATCCTTTAGACGGCCGGCAAGGGCGACAATTGCTTGCATGGAACGCTCTTCTCAAAGAAGACGGTCCGGTCAAAAGATCCAGAACCCGAACACATGTTCGAATGCATGCGCGCAAAATTGCCTTAAAGATCAAGAAAACAGCTGGTTCCGAGACAGTTCTACTTTACATGCTCAGATACTCCATCTCGAGTTTGCCCAAAATAACTCATCATGGGTTCTATCAGGGGCTGCAAGAATGGTCATGTAGGACGAATTTTCCAAAATCACTCAAGGAGAAAGCATCCCAGTTCTGGGCAGAGTCTTATCCTTGTCCGGGACATGCTTTACCAAGCAGACAGGTACCTCTGCATTATGAAACCCAACTGCAACAACAATCAGACGCGGGAGATATCTCTTCGGCGAAAACAAGTTCGGATGCACTGATCCCCTTAACTTCTTGTATGGAAGCCGACCGAGAGACATGGCAAGACAAGATACTGACCTTGAAAGTAGTTGTTTCAAAGGCCAACCAAACCATAAACCATCGACTCATTGCCGCTGAACAGCATAATGGTGCTCGCTTCCATGAGTCTGCTTATAGCGGAAGCTCGGCAACTACGTACACCAGAACCGATTCACAAATAGGAGGACAAAGAGGAATCGAGGTAGCTTTCGACGTGCCTTCAAACATTTTGGATACCTTCGTTGAGTTACACAAAAGATCTGAGCATTCCCAAGGACACTCGGCAATCCTCACGATTCCCACACAGCAAGACCGTGTTGCATCACTGGTGCTGTCAATTTCGCGGTCCGAAGCAGTGGCGAAAGGTGGAAAGCACGACTTAACTGAGATATTCAACGCTGGCTTTCCTTCTAGTTCTGCAGAGCATGACTTGCCCGAGATGTTCAACTCTGGCTCTCCCTCTGCTTGATAAATTTCACATCAACCACCATTGCTTCAAATGCACAATCTTTTGGAATTTTGCCAATGAATGTGTCCCTCGAATCATATACGTCCCAAAGTTGCGCAGTGGTTCCAGCTTCGTACACCCGAATACATCCAAGAAGGTCACGTGATAGAAGTGGGCGAAAAACGATAAAACGATTAGTCGGATGGCCAGGTATCATTTTCAGTGTATAAGATGTCCAAGTTTGGTCGACTTCGAATAGGGATACTTGGAGCTCCCCGTCTAGCTGGATGACGCTCCTATTAGTTTCGAATGTCGTGCAACAAAGAAAAAAGGGTAGCAGACCTCTTTGGCTTTTCCCAAGATCTCTTCATCCCCGTCTGTATCCAGCTGTATCCTCGAATAATATTCATTCGTCGCCATCATGGATGTCTTGGGCGATTCAACCAACCCCTGGAAAAACTTCGATTGCCGGGATTCGCGTTAAGGGTTCCGCACTGCGCCAGGCGTTCGATGAGATTGAAAAGCGACGGATTGGGCAAGATTGTCGAAGTAGATATGATGGGTAAATCCAGAATATCAGCGGCTCGAACGGGTTCTCGGGAGTAGCTGTGAATGCCCAACCTCCAGCAACGTGTCGGCTTGTTGGCA